ACACACACACACACACACACACATATATATATAAATATATACATACACATATATATATACATACATACATACATATACACACACACACACTTACATACATACATACATACATACATACATACATACATAAATACATACACACACACATACATACATACATTCATACATACATACATACACACATACATACATACATGCATACATGCATACATACATACATACATACATACATACATTCATGCATACATACGTATGTATGTATGTATATATGTGTGTATGTACCTATTTTTTTTAACACTCTTTCATTCTATTGGTAATTCGTGTCAATTGCCAGTGTCAAGCGACTACAGGCCCTAGGAATTGCGAAGTGCTCTAGAGCTTTCGACTGTGGGTGGTTAGAGCCCCCAGCACTTATCGGAGTATCTCTTGTTGTGGCTGTGGCACTCGAGGTGACAATGGGGAAACTGATCAAAGCATGCAAACACGGCCACTCTGCGCTAGCATACTTTCAAGGTACGAAGGGACTGTTCTCGTGTATTTTTCTGTACGTTTTCGTTTTCGAGTATTTTGACAACAATCGGAGGTTTGACACTACCGAAGGTCTTCTGCCCGTTCTGTTTTGTTGATTCGTATCTTTAAACCATATCAAGTATGGTGTATTGTTAACTGGTTTATTAGCCTAATCACATTTTTTTCGTCCGGCCTGGAAATCAGCACTAAGCACGTCGCCGATGACCGATACCGGCCAAGAGCCCATACTGGACGTGAACGGGCGTGACAGGAGGACCGTAAGGGCATGTATGTTCGTGCTCTTGGAGTGTCTGACATCAGCCACAATTATACAACGGGATTTGCTTCAAGCTCAACAGCACTTGATAGTGCTGACTAATCTATGCGATCAGCGTCCGGAGCGATTTGCTGCCCTACACTCGCTTATATCACAATATCTGTACGTATGTGGCGACCAACCGGCGGCTCTGATGCATATGCAGCGAGCGTCTCGGGACGGGATCGACCTGGAATATCAAACACTCATAGCTATGCAGGTAGTCGCTCTGTCCACCGTGCCATACTTACCGCGAGAGATGCGTTCCAATTCGGACGTTCACATTGGACTAAGCTTCGCGGAAGAGTCCCGGAGACAGCTCAAAGCCCTCCCACGTATACAGCTGCAGCGACGGTCTAATGCACTGGAAGCTGTCGAGTCGCTCGTGAACGGTATTGTCTCTAATATCAACATAAGACATCTACAAGAAGCGCGAGACCTCTACAAACAATGCCTGCGGGTATCCAGGAGATGCAAACTACAACGATTGACGGTCCAGGCTATGATCCGTATATCAGCCATCTCGGAAGCACTGGGCGATAATCCCAAGACTGTCCAGGATACCGCGAGTTCGTCTTTGTCCGTGGCCAACAAAATGGGTGACGTAGAGCTTTCTATAGAGGCCTTCAAGTGTCTGGAGAATGCTTCAAATCGCATATCGGATGTTTCGGATGAACCACTGGCCGCGTATACTCAGAGCATTGCCGCTTTGATTGAGAAGCATAGAAGTGCGGTTAGCAGTGCCCTGGCCCATACAGAGCGACATCGACTACTGCACAGCTGGGATTTAACATAAAGCTTCACATAATAAATCAAAATAGTATTTCCCTCATACACCTGCGCGTTCGTACTGATTGTCTAGCCGTTTATATCAAAATGTTGATTGTATGAGAGCGCACAAGTTAAGGAATGGGTAATAGAATTATCACGGTCATGCATTATTATGCAGCAATGAATAGTATTATTTTTAGATGTCAACTATACTATATACCAGCTGAAATGCAGATGCACTGATCGAATTGAGAAAGCCATATCTGCAGCTAATAAAAACAGACCATACTTTTACAATTCAGCCTCTATTTTATTGAGTGGCTCTCAGACCATCTATTTAAGCTTCTGTTTTTGTTAAGCTTCTGTCTTAACCTTTTCTGGCCTCAGCTTAAGACGTACTAAAACTAATATATGTTATATTGCTATGTGCCGATCCACTGATAAAGCCAGATGTGGAAATCGTGCAAGCCACCATTGGCAAAGAACTGCGGCGCACAATTCCACCGGTCAAAGCATCGGTTGGCACCCACTGTCTTACACAGCAGATTCGCGGGACATCTCTCTAGCTGGAACAGGCTCGGACTCTCACACCACATGCTGAAGAACACGGCTTGATCATCATCCATATACCCGCCCTCCAGCGCCGTTTCCAAGTGACGGTGAAACTGCGAGTGCATCTTGTGCATACTAGCCTTTGTGCCACCGAAGAAGCCTCCGGCTATGGTGCTTTCGTGCCTCATAAATTTGGAGCGGATATCAAAGCAGTGCTCGTGTACGGGATCGTCTACCTGGATGATGAACGCCTGGTTTAGGTTCAGTATAGATCTGACCTTATCGGGATTAGGCCAAACCTGTCCGCCCAGATCAGGCATGCGCTTGCCGTGACCATATCCACCATCCACCCAGAAGAAGAAATCTGAGCCGAAGGGATTAGATACGGTGGCTTCATACACCCAATCGATCTTCTTGTACTGCGTCACCGAGTAGGCGGGGACTCTCATTTCTATCCTATCCGGGCGGCGCACATTTTGCGTATAGGTCAAGTTATTTACAATGGCCTCTATTTCACCTATGTGCTTATACGTCTCCACTACATCATTAGGTACAACGCTGACTACAGTAGTCTTGGGTGAGCGATACTGCCAAACAAACTCCACATCCGCGGCTTTCACATAGACCACCATGCACGCGTTAATACCGAGAATTTGCTTAAACCAGGTTTTATATATATCATATCCACGGGCCGACGCCTTTGCCTCCATCTGCGCGGGCGCTCTTTCTCCTACCGCTTTCATATATGGAGAGAGATCAATCATAGCGGTGATCACGGTTATCTCACACTCCCCATCTACATCCATTGCACTCTCAGATGCCTCTTCATCTTCATCCAGCCCAAGATATGATTCGCCATTGGGTATCGTGGGCAGACCTTGAAGTAAGGGTCCAGTCGCCCTGTCTCTTTCAGGTTTCTCCACCAAATTGCCCACTATACTCAAACCAGGGCTATATACGTCTTTGAGCCCCTGATGCCCGTGCATCCCTGTGACATTCACTCGCTCGACAAATTCTAAACATCGCTCAGAATAATATGCGACATCCCCTAAACACAATGTGCCTATACCTTGGAAATGGGCCACATTGTACGGTTCGCGACAGTCTAATAGCCAATCGAGCCGCCACAGCCCGAAGATCCATACACAGAGAGCCATAAGTAGGTGTGTGCACGAGCCCCACTGCTGCAACTGCCGCTTATGGCCTCTCAAATGCAAAATCAGCTTCCTAATGGACTTTGCCGCCGGTTTGAACAAGTTCACCTTCATCACAACGAAAGCTAGTATAGAGAATACAACGGACAGCACAGCCCAGCGCACCACCATGCGCGTAACTGGCTTACTCCGTTGCGAATCCCCATCAACACCTGCCACCCACACCCCAGGGCTCAACTCATGCGGGTCAACGGTATGGACACGCTTGGAAATCCAATGTTTATGCTTATCTCCCTTGATTTTGACTTTTAACTTGTTCTCCTCATAATGTGTGGTGTTCATAACATCCACCTGGAAGGCTCTCAAAGAGGTACCCCACACCGAATAGCGAATCACCTTGCCTTCAAATACAACAGGACGCCCGCCAGGTCGGCGATCATGTTTTTTTACATCCAAGGGCGACATTGGGTGAACATTCCAGGGTCCTGCGAGCGTACGACAAAAAGCAAAGTAAGTTTAGTACAATGCGCCGGGATGAAGGCGAGGTAAAACGCGACTAAAATATATCGACGATAGACGATATTTAATTAATGCACTTGGCACGGCAACTTACCTTCTATCCACTCGCTGTAGTACAGGTGCAGTTCATTTGGCTTCTTTGTCCAAGAATACATCCACCACTGACCATCGTAGTACACAATATTCGTGTCGCAATAAGAACGCCCAGACAGAAGTGTGGAGACGTGCTCCCACTCATCCGCTTCATCACTGGTGGCCCTGTATAACCTGACCTGGTTGATCTCCCGTGTGCTAGGTATCATGAAAAGATCGCCCTCGACGCGAAATACGAAGGGAAATGCAACCTGAAAGTACTCATCCAGCACAATCTTGTCATACACCCAGTGGCCGCCAGCATTACTGCTACGTGCAAGGCCTATTCCACCCTTGTAATCTAGATTATTTTTAACTTCAAAAAACATCAGCCATTCATCCGCGCGTACCTCTCCCTCCATCAAGTGCCGGGAGTACTCTTGCTCTTCGTAGCTGGTCCGCCTCGCCTTCCTTCTAGTCTTCTCGAAGTCGTAACCCTCGAATCCACTGAACGGGTTGCGGTGTGTGATGCGCGCTTTGTGCGAACTACCATCGGGCAATCGCGTTACTGATCCAGGATGAGTGTTCGGAAATAGCGATGCCGGTGGTAGTATGAATGCACCGGATACGTACGCAGCCGGTATATCTTTGATATTTGAGCACGTAAGTGCAGCTTTATCAGCATACGTGAGGTTGAAAGGCGAATTACCATACGCCATACCCACGGCCCAGGAACCTCCATTGTCTAAACCGCAAGGCTCGAACAAGTGGATGTATGACCTTATGAGCAGTACTGTGGGCAGCAGCGATAAGGAAAACATTAAGAATGCGAATGAGCAGGTCAACGGTATCCGCGGATGTCTTCGAGACAAATACTTATCGTGTAACGATTGCAGTGAGAATCGGCCAGTTCGTCTGGATGAACTGTATAGCCTATTGGAAGACGCATTGTAGCTTCCATGCGTGGCATTGATGTGGTTATTTCGTTGTACTAGGCAACGGTCGCGTTCGAAGAGTAGTGGTTGTGGCCTCCCGAGCGATTTACTATCTTTATATTTCATTGGCGTCGTGCACTTTCGGTCCGGTTTGCTATCGGAATCAACGAGCACACTTCTGTATAAGTTCCGAAAAAGAAAAACGAAGAAAAACAAATCGATGAGATTTGTGAACTTCATACAATTGCATACTGATAAAAAGGAAAAGGGGCATGTACATATACAAGTGCAATCAAAGACTTCTCCTACTCATTTGTATGTGTACTTCAAGTGGCAACACATTCTGTGGATTCGATTCGTTAACAACACTTCCAACTGACAAGGCCAAATACGTGATGACTCAAATCACACGATTAAAGGCAAGAAATGTTCTAATGAGACTATGATGTGAGATGCGCAAGAACACATACACACGACAAAAATATTCGGCAACGCGAATTTGTAATATAGTAATAGACGCAAAGCGGTACTGTAGATAAAAATATATTCAATGTGAATATTTCTATAACATGAAATAAAAACGTATATACACAAAAAAAGCCACAAGCATATAAATAAAAAATCACTTAGAAAAATACATACAGATATTTATGTATGTGTACATAAACACACTATTTCCTATAAAAACGGAAACAAGCATACACACAGACACACACACGTATACATATATTTATACATACAGACACTTGGATATATATATAACACAATTTCTATATATATATATATAATATACACGCAAAAAAACGCACAAACCCGTATACGCATATATGGATATAAATAGACAAATAAAAAAAGTACATATATATGGGGGCACACTGACTGATATACGGACACAGACACATATATATAAATAAATAAATATACACAAAAAAATGTACATATATATGCGCACACTGACAGATGGACGGACACACACACACACATACGCACACGCACGCACATCTACATATTATAAAGATGTACATTTATCTACCATTATATTCGTGTACCAAATACAAGTAGTAGAAGCGTATATAGCTGCATGTAGAGACAAATCGAGATACATAAACTGACAAAAAAGAACTATATTCATATTTATTTATCTATGGAAATTAACCTACACATGCACACACACACACACACACACATATATATATGTATATATATACACTATATTGATTACATTAAAACTTCCATAGATCTTCATATTCTTGTACTAGGATGCAAGTGGAAGTGTATATAGTTACATGTAGATGGATGATAAGAGCGACACAAATCGATATACATACATTGATAAAAACACGTACATCTATATGCATATTTCTCTATAGAAATTGACCTGCGCATGCACACACACACATATATATATGGATATTCATATAACGTATAAACGTACATACATACATACATATATACATATTTATATATACATACGTACACATAGACATTTATATACATACAAATACAAATAAATATATGCATATATGTATATATATATATATATATATAAACAAATACACACATATATACCTACATTCGATACATACATATATATATGTATATATATATTATTTGATATAAGTAGAGTATTAAATATGAAAATATAATTTTTGCATTCATTTGTGCAAAATATATATTATGCATGTATTCAGGTGATACCTACATACGCGTGTATTGCGATGTACTACATACAAGCTACTATGCTAAATTTCAGCAGAAGTTCATATACTTTCTCTCAAATCTTCTTTATAATTTACGATGTACCCAAAAAACAGAACAGTATTTGCTTTCGAGTGCAGTCTACAGTACTAAACATTGTAGGTCTACACGACAGAATAAACAATGCAGTAGCAGGCAACTTCACAAGTTACAGTAGTCAATTCATGATTGTCTATCAAATACTCGCATCTGACCCTTACACAAGATCTTACAATAAATAAGGGCTTACAGTAACAAGGAGAAGTCAGCACATTTATGGAATAGGATAAGCTCGTTACCGTGAATAGAACATACACAGCGCTCAACAATCGCATAGAGCGGTATGCCTCGTAGATTTAACGCAAACGAGGTATCACCACGTCCTCGATTATAAACCATCTAGATGACGGACTGAAGCTTGCAGAACACGTTAATAGAGTACGCACACATTGGCGAAATGTCACAAGGAAAAGTACCCATTACTCAACTGGGGGTGAGATATAAATGTTGTATGACTAAAACAAGTCAAGCAATCCCCCGGGGAAAACAATAGAAAACTAGATACCGGACAAAAAGCAAAGTTTGACTATTCGCATAGACACATACGACGTGGATGCACATCCGTGCAGTAGAACTTACAAGTTATGCCTTGGGTGTTTTAGAGTTTGTGCGCTGCCAGCATTGTCCGGCTGAGCCGGTTGCTGCCCCGGTGCAGCGGAAATTCCCATTACTACCGTACGAATGAAACGCGCGAAGATGACAAGATTACTGAAGTCATATTAAAATCCACACTATCAAACTGAGTTTATGAATTGTATGTATTCACATATAAAGTATACAGACTATACACCGGGAACCTGTGCGACAACAATGCACTCCAGTGCTCCACGCATATACACAATAGTAATAAGTACGCGCAGTGGCGTAAGGCCGCGCACGCAACCACAACTCACAAGTATCGATCAGGATGATATGAGAGCAAAACAGCTTCAAAAAAGTGAAAACGTTAAAAATGATATATTTGCGTTGTTTGTTTTATATAGAATAATTACGTGTAATTATAATCATCATGTGAAGCAGAATTTTATTATTTATTATTATTTATTATTTGGCTCTCGCGAGTGTCGGCACAGCGGGCGCTCTCGTCGCTCTCGTGAGTCTCGTGAGTCTCGTAGCTCTCGGCTCTCACTCTCTCGCGGAGGAGACTTGCGAATTTGCATTTTGCGATACAAACGGTCCAAACTCAAAACGAATGACTGAATACAGCCTTCTAAATTGTTTGTACCAAATACTTTCAGACAAAATAACGAATATTGTGTGCTAAATATAGATACAAATGGAATACATAAATGAGTTTTGGTTTTGTTAAAAAAACAAATAAAAAAACAAATAGTGTTCGTCTAAAAAAAGGTCCTCAATATTTTCAGTTTGGCAGTTTGGATTTGCTCGTTTGGTTTTCGGGGTCCCCCTCTCTTGGATTTGGGACGTCAGGTCGTCTGTTGCATTTGTGACTTTCAACCTCAATATTTAGAAGAAGGCAATACCTCAGCCCTGAGGGCCTCAAGAGTGTTATTTCTTCCTATTCGGGCCTGTTGTGGACTATGTACATTGTACCACACTTCTAGAATTCACGTGAACGATGACACAGTTCGGTGTTCAAAACTGATGGCGAGTTGTATGTGAGATGTGAGTTTGTATGTTGAAAGCAATACATATACTTTGAAGAATTTACGACAATATTTATAAACAATTGAGAAATCTTTTTAGTGTTGAGCTTTTTAAAAAAAGACCCAATCTTGCCTGGAATCTTGATTACGAGTCAAAAGTGCCTCCCCCACTCTTTCTAGTTTTTGGACCCAATATTAGGATTACCAGGAGATAAACAAATAGGTATTGTTTAGCAATTTTAGCACTAAAGCACTGTCTCCACCCAAAAAAACCAAACCAAACCGATTATTACTCATTAAACACAGCTGCCACAGTGCCTGACAGTCATACACATATAGAGAATACTTAAAACTGCCGCTACCATGACTACCTCTGAAAACTGCCGCCACTATACTTGCCTTATATGCCTGCTATCTTTGAGCCTGATTCTTCCACCTTGCCACTAACAACTGGCACTTACACCTACCTTGAGTGATTCCGTAGTTATCTGATTGGCTGAGAGGTTTTCGACCGGTCGGTCCATATAATACATACTTTCTATTAAGAAAAAAAGTTGACCGACAGCTCCAGACTTCCAGTCTTCCAGGCATCTTGTTGCGTATGTATTTTTTTCTTCAGTGAGAATTCGTTGTCTATTTGAAGAAGGCTATGAATTCGTGCTCATTCGTGCGGTCTTTTATAAATACTTGCGTTCCGTTGGGTTATTAGTCTTGGACTCATGGCTTTGCGAGTATATTTGTGACATTCTGAAATACTCTGATGAGTGCTGTGATAATTGATAAAGAAACTAAACGGCTGACATGACTGCGTGCAAAAAAAGTATGATAGAAATAACTAATAAGAGAGCGTTTGATTGATACCAAGCTTTTAATATTGTTTCCGTACCAATTGAAACAATCTTTTGTAGAGATCACCAATGTATCAGCCGTTTTAGGACTGCTATGTAAATGATGGAGCAATTATTTCATCCAAAAAACAAACGAGAAATGGAAAAATATGAAAATGGAGTACATATGGCCCTCTACAGTCTACTCTCTACTACTACTACTACTACTACGAGAGAGAGTAGTAAATAGAGAGGCCTGGAGTCCAGGACAAACAAACCAAATACATACAATCATTAACTCATATTTACAATACAGTAATACAAAAACAAAAATAGAATTGTTTCAATTTAGAAGAAGGTTATGATTTAGCCTATGAATTTGTATTGGCATTTTGTGGAAAGAAAATCTTATGAAAATCATAAGACACACTGATTGGACCGAGCTAGTATTAAGTTATTGCATTTGTCAATCAATGATACGTACATACAGTTGGAGTCGCTTGGACTCTAAATTTAGAGTATTGGACAACGGACACGGAGAAGGGGGGGTAAGGAGTTAAGGACTAAGTCATTTTAAGGACTCAAGGAGTCTAAGGACAGTAAGCAACTGGACACTACAGCGGACAACTGGACACACAGTCGTAAACTCGTCAGTCGTCACTTGTCAGTCACACAGAAAAATCTAGAGTTGTCTGGGCTCTGGATCAGGTCTGGACTGGACTCTGAAGTCTGAAGTTTGGAGCCTGGACATTTGTCAGTTGACAGTTAACAGTTGACACACTCTCTTGTCAGTCTCTCACCACTCTCTCAGTGCCTCTCAAGTCTCAAGAGACTTCAGGCTCACTCTCATCAGTCTCCAGAGTCCAAACTCTCCACTCTCCAGTTTCCAATAGCGGTTCAGAGTCAGCCGGGACTCAGCCCTTCTCAATTTCTCAGCTTTCAAACTTCACAGAAGGCTATTTTGAATTTGATAGAAAGGCTTCAGTGCTTCACTGTAAGTTCACGACTTCACAGTTCACACTTCAGTACTTCACAGTTCACAGTTCACACTTATGTTCACGCATCCCCCAAAGTCCCGCCTGCACCCCCAGTCCTCCACACACATGATATGTAAGGGTTTGGGGGCTTGGGCCTTGGGGGCTTGGGCAAAGGCCGCCTCCTCTAGTAGTAGAGAGAGAGAGTGAGCCCAGAAATGAGAAAAGCCTAGGGGCCAGGGCGCTAAGGCTCTACAGAGAGAGGCCAGATCCCTCAGACCCAGTAGGTCCCCCAGACTCCCAGAGCCATCAAACGGGCCCCCAGTCCCCCATCCGGTCACCTCCCTTCCTCAGGAGTTCCTACCCTTTTATATTTATTTTTATAATATTTACTCTCAAAGTGGAACAGTGTGAACTGTGAAGTTCACTGTGAAGTGTGAACTCTCTGAATTCAGTGAATTGTGATGTTTAATTTTCAGAAGGCTATGATTGTGAAGTGATTTTTTTTTTGAAATGTGGCTGGGGAAACGCTCAAAAGTGAAACAGAGAAACACAACAACAAAGTCAAAACAGAGGGAAGATTGTGATCGATAAAAAAATAACAGAAATGTAATTTTTTATTTTGAAAATTTGCATATTAGTGTCCATTCTACACTTGATAAATTTCAAAAGTAGACCTGATGGCTGCTGTGGCCTGCGATTTATTGGCCCACCTCTCCGGTTTGTTGACTAATGAATTAATAAAACTACTGGTGATTAATAGCTTGAACCAACCAGTGATCAAGTTGGGTTCAGGTGAACGTTACGGTAACAGCGTGGATTTAGATATATACTGTACATGTACTGTGCGTCAATAGTTATACGATTGAAACGAGGATTCCAAAATGAGTGCTGCAAGCGCCACCTGGTCTACGCCAGAGAGTGTACACAGTAGACACAGCCAGACAGTCAATGCTACGTCTCCCCGTGCATTGGCAACAGATGATATCTCGAGGCGCTTGTCTGTTGTGAGCTTGGATGACCCCGGAGTGTCAGTAGATTTGCTTCGGTCGGTGGATGTTTCGGCGTCAGCCCCCCATTTGCCCCTGCCAGATATTGGGGAGTTGCAAGTAGATGGTGCTAGCCCGGCAACAGCGCCGTCGAATTTGCAGAAGCGTACCGGCCGAAAGGGCATTGACCAGCTGTTACAGGACACCCTCGACTCCAAGGGTTCTACCCCCAAACGCTTGCTTCTTTCCCCCAAATACTTAGATACCAAAGGTAAAACTCAGTCAAGTAGTATGGAGGATCTCAATGGCGCACTGTCGAAGTCCGATAATCAGCATTCACGCCCAAAACCCTTTCTATTAGCTGTGACGGCAAACCCCGTGAGGAGAAAGTCACACGCAACCGCAGTAGATAGATCAGTTTCGAGCGCCTCCACTAATCTGCTGCAAAAGAGACGTCTGATGCCTGGACGTGTTAGTACCTCTATGACCGGGTTGGATCTCAAAACGGCGACGGGCAGTTCAAGTCCTCGCAAGAGTGGTACCACCATCCAAAGCGCCAGGCTACACAATAGACCACGTGTCAATTCCAATAGTGGGTTTCAAATCAGCCAAAGGCATAACAGACAGCGCTCAGCAGGACCCGGCGCGGATTACACGATTGCAGTCGGTACACGCAGTCCCGAGAGTACTCTATGTCCGTCTACGTCTACTACGTCATCGCCAGTGAGGTCTGTACGCAGCGCGAGTGTGCTTTCAGCTTCACCTACGCAGGATGAGTCTCCTGGAAAAAAGAGCTACTCCCATCATAGAGTATATAGTGGTAGTAGTTCTAGCATACAAAGTAGTAACAATACGGCAATCCATAGTGGCAGTAACTCAGACAGGCTACAACGAGGAAGTGGAGAACGTATGTCGCGTCGTACAACGATTGATTCCTTGACCCACTTCTCACAAAACGTCGGGCTCGTCATACCTGAGAAGCGGCAGAGTGAACTTAGCCGGAAAAGTCCACGTCCTGTTGCCGCGTCCAAATCCCGCAAGAAGTCGCTCAAATGTTTTGAGACCGCTGAAAATATAGTTGGCTCAGCAAGTATCCTTAACGATAAACTTAATACTAGTGGTACAGTAGCTGTTTGGTCGAAGTCTGACGCAACGAGTACAAATAGTGACAGGACATACTTAGACCTCCTTCTATTAGATGATGATGAAATCAATGAAATTGGCGATACATCGACAGCGAGTGTCGCTGATGAAGGGCAGGAGCCTTTGGATCCTCGAAGACAATTGTACACGGGGATGAGCAATGCCGAACTTGAGAAGAAGATCGCAGATATGATTTCCGAAATCGCAACTACCAACATAACTCTTGTTCTAGAACTGGAAGCAAGGGAGCTGTATGTAGCTGAAAAGAACAAGCTCACGGCGAAGAAGAAGCAACTACTGAAAATCGGCCATGGATGATATGGTTGTTTCCTGGAATCGTGAATGTAGTGGGTGTGTTTTTTGTTATCATGCGTTTTTCCCTTGTGTGATAGTAAAGCAAGAGTAGCCCGCATTCGTCGGCGGTTGAGTGTCGCCAGTACTGCCCACCACTAATCACATATAGATGTGGTAGATTGGCGAAAATACCAGTATACGAGTGATGTATACAGAGCATCATAGTGGTATGGAATATCTCAGCCTGGTGTTTAGAGCTACTGCTCTGTCAACAGTGATGTTGATTGGTTTCGTCGCCTCTGAGACGTACTTCTTTTCAGCTCGACTGATGTTTCAAGCGTTGCTAAAATTTGCCTGTCATCGTCTAGTTATCAGAGTTCAGCGCTATTTGTGGACCTCATCTCTGGCAACTAGTTGCAGACCATCATATCTCCCAAGTCTATGGTAGCAGTGGTTCAAGAAAACAGCGGTAAGGGTTCAATCGGTAACGATACACGCCACCTATCGAGCGATTGGCGGATGACTGAAGCCTATGCAGCAGTAATTATATGGACATGGTTGACGCTGAGAAGGTCAAGCAGTGGGGTATTGCTGCATATCACAGATATATAGTATACTCCAATCATACCGAGCCACATAATATTACACTGCGAGCTAGAGAGCACACAGTATGCCAGACGTCATAGTACAAACAAGTATTCGTCTCCCAACTAGTACTGGATTGGCAAGCAGTCACCGGCGTTTCAGAGTGTGGTCAGTTCTGCCCATCATTATTGACACCGAGATGAGCGCGTGGTAGCAGAAAGGCAAGGCTCCAGCATGAGTCATGCCACGTTACGCATGGAACATCATATTGGCATGAAAATCTCTGCCTGGGGCACAAATGCCAATAGCGGTATCATTCGATTTGCTTAAGCAATTGTGTGTATTCTTTATTTCCACGATGCTTCAGTCTTGAGGGGAATTTAGTGGTGATTTTGCCTCATACGCGCAGCTCAGCGTTGTTCATAAAGTTCACCACTAGCAATCCAATTATTGCCTTGATACATGGCAGTAGTGCATCCAGAAAACAGCGGTAAGGACTCAAATGGTAGATGACCTGACCACAAACCGCAAAATAGATGTGCGACCTACATAGTAGTCAGTCATGTGGGCATGATTGTAACACTGGGAACGGAAGGAAGTATAAAACCGTGGAGATGAAGTATTCTCTAAATTAATCAAGCCACATAATATCACACGGCGAGCTACACAGTAGAGCAGTAAACCGGATGCAAATACAAAACTGCAATTTTCGAGCCAGCATGAGATATTCTTGTAAAATTTCACATAGAGAGCAAGAGATGAGTCCGAACGCATGGATGTGTATGGTGGTTATCGCTCCAACAACCGAACAGTTCAGCACCAATAAAATATAAGGTGTTAACGTATCTGGTTTACTATTCTAATAGCTTTTAAACTGGTGATTCTTCCTGCTAGCTCACATAGTATGTATCCTCGCTCATAAGGTCACAGTACATGGCATCCAATCTACCGGCATCGCCCTTTTCTATTCCATAGTCTGAAAGAAAGTCCAATATCCCCGCTGTCGAGTTCAATCGATTGAATGTCTGCATTTCTGAAAGGTGGGGGCAAACAAGACTCAACTGCGTTAGTGTCCGTGCACGAAAAATCGCGGCGTACAAGTGCTCTACAATATTAGAAGTACCTTACAAACAGCATGAAGTTGCACGTCTTGCACTGAATACCGAATAACAAATTCGAAAAGTGACAAGCAGCACACATAAAAAATGTAACACACAAAACCTTTTAGCAGGACAAATGATTCCGAGACCCAATACCTTGCTTGCTCAGAACATCGACGAGCATCTGTGCGAGGATATGCCGGAAGCTGTCGAATTTGAAGCCTAGCAGAGATCGTATATCAACCCACCGCTGCACACACTCGATGGGCGTGGTGTCGTACCCTTTAAACATGGCCGGATTTCTGAGCAAACCTCGTGCAGTCATGACGCCATCGACACCAGTTAAAGCCACTATACTATTGGCCTGTTCCAGGCTATTTGCATCCCCGTTGGCTACCACGGGGATATTCACAGCGTCTTTAACTTGCCGGATGATATCGTAGTTCACCGGTTCGTACCGTTGCTTTGGTGTGCGCCCGTGTACCGAAAGGAAAGCGGCGCCGCATTTCTCTATCCGTCTAGCCATTTCAACTGTTTCACTGTGGACAGTAGGTGGTGCTAAACTGAGCATGACGTATTCGTTTTTGCGAGACGGGCAAAGGTTTCCAGACGGACCTTTGTATAAAAAAACTGCATTGGTTGATATGTATGTTTTCCTACACACACACACATATATATAATATATACATACGCATGTACTTGTAAACACACACACACACATATATATAAATAAATATACATAAATTCATGTACATTTCGGAGTATAAAATTTTAGTCACCCTTCCACGACTGCAATCATTAGCTGAGCTTTACTAACCATCTTCTCAAATCAAGTCGAGGAATAAAACGTTACCATGTACTTCTAAAACCTCACAGAAAGCGGAAACCCTTACATGCACTTAACATAGAACACAGCGAATGTGTATGGATATGTATCAATGTCGCTCAACTTACCGTCGAGCGTGTATATATACAGTGCACTATTGTAGTCGTCTGATAAGTACCTGACGGATTCATATACCCGAACTTTAACCGATATCGGCAACGTGGTTCGATTACGTGCATGGCTGACCATATCAAAGCAAGCGGAAACCCTTACATGCACTTAACATAGAACACAGCGAATGTGTATGAATATGTATCAATGTCGCTCAACTTACTGTCGAGCGTGTATATATACAGTGCACTATTGTAGTCGTCTGATAAGTACCTGACGGTGTCATGTACCCGAACTTTAACCGATATCGGTAACGTGGTACGATTACGTGCATGGCTGACCATATCAAAGACCATCTGCGGATCTGAGATGAGATGAGACCCATAGCCCGAATCCATGGCCCATTGCTGCGGACACCCACAGTTGAGGTCAATACCCTCACAGTGGCGTGTCACAAACTCAGCGGCATCCCCAAGTTGCTGGGGATTTGATGCGGCGAACTGTAGTACCAGAGGCTGATCAGTGTAGGGCAGGGTTGTGAACTCAACCTCGCGAGATCTCTCCGACCTGGGTGAAGAACGGATACAGCAGCTTATCAGTTTTCTGCACCACTAAAGCTGCAAACTCTAGATAAATTAGTGTGTGTCGTGACAACGGCTCTGTATGGCATGCCATTCGGATGTCGAATAGGTCGATTTGGAGTGAGAAAATCTCGCATCGTGAATGAATAGGGCTGATGAGCGATTTAGACTGAATACACCACCTTTTGGCTCATAATTTGATCAAACAAATCGTATATCGTGCATTACGAATCGACCAGAAGAACTGAGCACAATGAACACATGCAGAGGGCATCCATTTCAAAACACACACACACACACATATATATATCTACCTGGGCCGTGCTGTGAAAGAATGTCAATCGACGCATTCAAATGTTGGTCACTATAAACATATCTATTACACTTGACTTTCGAGTAGTATCTTCACCGATTTATACACGGCACCTGTATGTGCGCGAGCTGATACCATGGATCGACATGGTAGCAATATACAGCCACAACATACGACGACACGATATAACGTGCTCGATATGCTGAACTAAGGTGGTGCATCAACTAACATGACTTCCAAATTTTAATTTAGAACATATATGAGTGCTGGTATTCTTAGATCTGAAAGAAAGATCTGTACTCAGATGTACTGATTGTTAGTGTTTGCATACATCCGCGCGGGTGCCAGTGAAGAACAGCGAAAAAGGCGAAGTTAGAAACCATATCAAGCGAACTACCCCTTCATAGGAATAGCTGTGATTATAGCCGCATATGATTTATTGATGACAGAAAGATTTGACAGAATGAGACATTAGGTTCTCAGGATCCATTATATTTATTTGCGTTAACATTGTCCGTTTGATTCGTTGTACCGATATGGTTGATTTGATTTAGAATTAGATAACATTAGCAAAAAAACAATCAAACAAATAAGTATATAGTACACATGAATATAAATACAACTAAATGTGTGCATGCAAAACTAAAGAAAAAAATCAAATACTAAAACACATATTCTTCAGGGAGGAGGAGACCCAGATCGCATATGAGAAAAGTAAATCAAATATGAGTGATTGTACATCGCTATGTACAAATAAGAATATACATATATATATATATGTATTTATAGATATATAAATAAATAAACACATACATACATACATACATATATATATATATATATATAATACAGATAGACACATGCGCAAATATGTAAATATATATAGATATACACTCAAACACCCATACAGACTCCCATTTTATATATATATATATATATATGAACATAGACATAGACGCAGGCACATACATAAATGAACATACATGTAATTATTTAAACATACACATGTTACACACACACACACACACACATATATATATGCAATATATGTATTTATATATATATATATATATATATATATATATATATATATATATATATATATATATATATATATATATATACTATACTACTACTA